GTAGGAGAGTTTTTTAAATTATTGAAATGAAATTCACACACAATAAAATTCACCCCTTTAAATAATACAATTACTAACTTACTGGCAACTCTTTGTCTTTAACTTTTTGAGAAACTAGCAAACTTTTTTCCAAAGTGGCTGTATCATTTGCATTCCCATCAGCAATATATGATTGTTCCAATTTCTCAGCATCCTTGTCAACACTTGTCATCTTTTTTTTTTAATTGACTTTGTGTCTGAAGTCTATGGGGAGACACATTAAATCTTGCTTTGGCCTTACTTGCATATGTAAGGTCTGTAATCTTTGTGTGGGGCTCACAAGGTTGGAAAACAAAAGATTTTGCCTCTATTACTATCAGAATTAGGAAATCAGCCTTATCAATTCCCAAAAGTTCTCTTGGGCTATTTTTCAGAGCTGTTTTTAGTATTTTGAAAAGCCTAAAGTAACTCATCCACTCCCTCTCAGCAGGATTCCTACCAGTGAAAAGTCAAGAGATTCAATTTTGACTAGAATTAATTGAATTAAGCTTAGTAACTTAATAATAGAGAAGGCATTGCCTTCAGGTTTTATCACCACCTGGTAGCACAAACCTGGCATCTGGTAAATGTGGAAATGAACAAACAAATATACACGAGTGCTCACGTGTTAACCTAAATCTCTGATTGCTAATTTTTTCTGGGGGGATAAGATAAAATGAAGGCGGATTAAAGGAGTCATTGGTGGGAGAAGAGTAGGAATCTTTGCCTTTGGGGAATCCAAGGGTACTGCTGGTTCCCAAAGTTACTCCTTGGATAATATTGTTGGAAGAGCTGCTCTTCTGAAACCTTGTTTCTTTCTGGTCCCTTGGGCCTCCGCTCCTGGCTTACCCCTGGTTCTACCCCAGATCCCCTCAGCCCCTCTGAGCCCAGAGGATACCCACCCTTGTGGTAGTTAGTGTTCTATGCACTGTCCACCTGCCCCACCCCACCGGGCTGGCCTTCATCCCCCAACCCAAGATCTAACACCGCCTCTGATATCCTAAAATGTGTTAATGCAACATATCCCTGCAAACAGTGCCAATTTGTATTGGAATCCTTTTCCGCCACGGTTTTACATACCTCTCCACCCTCGTATTAGTTTCCTAGGGCTACTATAATAAAGCACCATAAACTAGGTGATTTAAAACAACAAAAATGTAATTCTTTCATGATTCTGGAGGCCAAAAGTTTAGAATCAAGGTGTTGGTAGGACCACATTTCCTCCAAAGCCTATGGGGAGATCCTTCCTTGTTTCTTCTAGCTTCTGTTGGCTTCACACATTCCTTGGCTTGTGGCACCATAATTCTAATCCTTGTCTTTGTTGTCACATGTCCATCTTCCCTCTGTCTCTCTGTGTCCAAATTTTCCTCTTCTTATAAGGACACCAGTCACACTGGATTAGGTCACACCCTAATTCAGCTCTTCTCACTTCATTTCCTCATTTTCAAATAGACTTAACAAACAGACATATTTCCAAGTGAACACTAGAAAATGGCCCCTTCTCTATAGTGCAGATGGAAGGGGTTTGTGAGAAGAAACTAAAAAAGGCATCGGCTCCGGTTTTTACTCTTAGGCATCAATCTTAAGGAAATAATTGGACAAATGTGCAAATATATAAGTATCAATATACAGATACTCTAAATGACTGATTTGATCTAAAGAGGCTGTAAAGTAACAGAATCCTTTATTTCTTTCCCTTAGGAACATAAAACTCTTGGAGATGTTTAAGTGTCATTTTATGACACAGCAAGACCTCATCTCTATAAAACATTAAAAAATTAGCCGGGCATGGTGGGATGTGTCTATAGTCCTAGCTACTTGGGAGGCTGAGGCAGGAGGATAACGAGGTTACAATGAACTATGATAGCCCTGATGATAGCCCGGCTGCACTCTAGCCTAGGAAACAGAGGAGACCCTGTCTCTAAAATAATAATAATACAGGATGGAGACAGTACTTGGGTTATGTGGATGGGGCAAGATTGGCCATGGGTTAAGTGTTACTGGGGCCTGAAGGTTTGATACATGGAGGCGATTTTGCTATCTATCTACTTTTGTGTATGATCTAAACTCTTCATCATAAACAGTTACACAAAGGAAATGTCTAATTGAAGTCTTTTTTTGTAGTATCTTCTAGATTATCACAACCTGTAAGGTTGTTCTATTGGCACTTTTTTGGCATGCAATTTTTTAAAAATGTTACCTGTTTCTTTTATCAGGTTGTTGTCTAGGATGAAATAAGTATGAAAGTACTTTGAAAACTTGGTTGGGCGGTGGCTCACACCTATAATCTTGGCACTCTGGGAGGCTGAGATGGGTGGATAGCTTGATCTCAGAAATTTAAGACCAGCCTGAGCAAGAGTTAGACCCTTATCTCTACTAAAAATAGAAAAACTAGCAGACATTGTGGCAGGAACAGCTACTTGGGAGGTTGAGGCAAGAGGATTGAGTTTGCTGTGAGCCATGATGCTACGGCAGTCTAACCAGAGTG